GACAGATCTGCCGAACAAGGAAACATGAGTAGGCCAGGCTGAAAAACCCACGCCTCGTGGCGAGTTAAAACAAAGGCCTCCAAGCAACGCCCTCAGTCAGGGGATGGAAGCATTTTGAACTAGGCCTATAGAAAATTTAATGTGCAGTCGGAAACCATAATCTCTAACCCACCTGGGTCGGTGCTGGAGGTTAGAACAGTGTCCTTTCTGGACGGGGGCCCACTCTAACTATCTGGAGGCAACACAAGCACGACCACACACAGTCATAGTACGGCTGTATAGATGACATTATGTATAAGTATTGTATATGGCATTTTATACTCTGCATTATCTTCATTATATATGAACACGAAAAAAAATACCATAAGTTGTAGTTACGAAAGTATGAATGGAAATAAACACTTCCAAACCACCCAGTGAATCCACACAACGTTTACAGCACTTGTGTGTGTGTGTGTGCCAGACCACGATGCTTCCCATCATTCACATAACAATATGAAAAATCGTGTTCAATTTACTAAATATTTCAAAAACCTTAAATTACATGTGGATCAGTCACTCCTCATATATATATATATATATATATATATATATATATATATATATATATATATATATATATATATATATATATATATATATATATATATATATATATATATATATATATATATATATATATATATATATATATATATATATATATATATATATATATATATATATATATATATGTATATATATTTTATTTTTTGTGTTTTCCAATTTGCTGTCTTGGTATTCCACCTGGGTGGCGGGCATAGCTGAGGAGGGAGCATTTACCACCCAGCGACCTATTGGAATGAGTCCAGTGGAGATGAATGTGAGGTCCACTCTTCCTTTCAGTATGTGTGTTTGCTCCCCAGTATTAAGGATCGTGATTTCTGGAACAGCTATCAGCTATTCCACTATGAGTTGATCGCCCTGGTTCGTTCTTGAAGTCGAATTGAACGTGGGATGGTTTGTATTGAAGCCCTAGCAATAGGCACAGATTAGTGTGTTTCTATAAACTGTAGTTCACCGGCTTCTAGTCGTTTGTACTGCGGTTTACCTATGTTATATACTACGAGATTGACGTTTGCCAGATGTAGCCGAACAGCATCCGACTCTATTCCATCCATACAGTGAAAAAGTTCTACTACTCAGCTGGAGATGGTCGCCCTAACGAGAATCATGCCGCCATGGGAGTTAGACATTTTTGGTACAGGGTACTGTTGTTATCCAGGCAGGCGGATCTGTTAATCTTTTATCATGAGGGTTTTTTGTAGAATAGGCCTTCTATATTCCACTGCATTACTACTACTACTACTTTGCTGTCACTCGGAATCGAGTATGACGATCATCCAGCTATGATAGTTATTTAGGATGTTATCCTCGTTGGTGAGTTAGCTCTGAAGTGACTCAAGAGGCCGATACGGGACCGGCAGGGCCGTCCACCAAAGTTGAGGACGTGGTGAACATCAAGTAAGAACTCCATCCACTGCTCCAGCTTCCGCGTCAGATGGTCAACGTCGACGCCCAACTACAATCAGCATTGGACATCCTTCATGGTCTCAGCGCAGCTTCTAATGAATCGACGATAGTTTCACTAACTATTGACCTTCTACACTTTCGTCTCCAGAACCTTCGCAAGCTTCTCGTCGATGTTGGGAAGAATATACCAGCGTCTCAAGCGGATCTTGCTAAAGAAGTTCATTCTTAGACACGACGAAGAAGGGGTCGCTTTAATTTTGTGGGTCTTATCCAAAGCACTTTGTTTGGCACGGCAACGGCCAATGATGTAGCTAAATTGGGGGACCGAATGGACATTGTCGTTCAAGCTGTATCTCAGAAGAATCGTGTTGTTTCTCAAACCTTTCATGCGATTACTGCTTTAGAATAAAAGGTTAATGCAATAATATCGGAGTCTAACAAAGTTTAGAGGATTGTTAATAGGTTACAGAAATCAGTCCCGACGTTAGAATGGCTCCTTTATATCACAGAATATTTGCATGCTGCTGAAATTTCAGGTCAAAAGATTGTAACCACTAAAAATGAACCAAATTGACAGCATTGTAGATGCAGGGATAGGAGTGTGGCCGCAAAGCTTGTGCCGGTGCAGACGCTTCTTGACGCTTCACAGATAGCCAAGTTGCAGTATCAATTAACTCCTATTTTTAATGACAATGAGGTTGAATATTATTACCCACTGTTGGAGTCGACTCTCACGCACAATGCTATCCTGATCCACATTTCTATGCGAGGGTAACATCAGTTTCATGCATGGCATTTAGAACCCTTCCCCTCGTTTGTTAACGACACACTGTATACTCTGGATAGGCCGAAAGAACTCTATCTAATAGATGAAGATTATTCTTTATTGTCAATAGAGGATCCTAAGGTGCTGTCACAGTGTAAGCTGTCTTATCTACACCTACACGTATGTCCAGCCTACATGTTCGCGTTTATTCCTGTTGCAGAGGGAATATGTGAATTGGCAGTCATACAAACCAATCTACGCACAGCACTTGCGCAATGCAGTTATAGGCAAGTTAGTCTCACAACTGTGTTTCACGCTCATCTTCACAATGTGCAGTATTTGTTCTTTCGAAATCTTACTACTGTTATTTTAAAATGCCATGATGGTGTTAAGCAGCTAGCTGTGAAAGGGCATTACAAGGGTCCGGATTACTGTGAAATCACTTGTGGTACATTACGGACCTTGCTTACTCATCAGCACTTTGCTTTAAATATAAAACTCAAGTCTGCTTTAATTCAACTTCCTGTCATGAATTTCACTATAAAGGATATTCAAATTGTTTCAGAGAAATAAAAAAACCTAGCATTCTTGAAAGAGACACATTTTGCTGATTTGAGTAATAATTTGCCATTTTATCTATAACGGGAATTTGCCATACCAAGCCTTACAATTCCCTCAATTATGTTAATTTTGGCAATTATGTTTCTGTTCTGTTATTATAAGGCAGTGTCATCCAAAATGAAGTTTAGGTACCCTGTAGTACCTGATACCCCTACAGTAGTAGATTCCCTAGCTTAGTGTCTACACATCTGTTTATAATATGGTTAGGGTTGTCTAGGATGTACTCTACTCTGTGAGATTATTTAGGCCTCACTTGGCTCGGCTGGTAGGTGACCGAGCGATGTAATGGCCCCTGTCTCATCAACAGAACATATTATATTAATAGGTCAATACATCTGATATTATATTCAGATTCACCACCCTGTAACTTTCCACTGTCTATGAGTAAGACATGAGTTGAACACGTGAACGGTAGCTTTCCCAAGAGGGACAAGCCCATATGTCAACATCTATGTAAGCACGCACCAGCGACGCTCCTAAATCAGTCACTCAGATCAACTAATATCGAACGGACGTGATCAACGTTTATATTTATAAACTCCGTCTTCTTTCTCGTTCACTCATAAATAGTGGAACTTACGGTTGAGCTACACTCAGGAATTATAGACATAATCCTTTTATAATAAAACAAGGAACTTCAATTGGGTTTCGTTACTAAAACCCTAATATCTAATATATGTGAACAAGCCGGTTAATTGGGGGATTAACCGACGGATTCAATGGATTGTGTTTGCTGTTCTGTTCCTCGTGATCTGTTGCAAGGGGGAGGCTTCACTGTTGTACAGTAGGTGTTCTCTTGTCTGAAATTGTGGTTGTTCTGGGAGTCTGGTCTTTCTGTTCTTCCTGTGCCATAACCACATTTAGTATCTTTTCGGTGCCTGTGTCTTGTTCCTTTATAGTCCGGTAAATCTAGTGATATACCCACCACAAATTCCGATAGTTTTCAAAATAGCATTTTTTGGCTCTCAGATTGACATTGAATAACATAATAAAAATCAACCAAAATCACTACATTGGAACTCACTGAAATCCAATATGGACGCCACAGTAGCTGTTAGAGCAGCAATTTCAATGTTTGACCCCAATATTCTGGTGAGTAACTATCCCAATTATCCCTAAATGGAAAAAAAATAGCTTGTAATCTCAAATCTATAATCCAATACGGCTTCCATAATTAACCTGCAATGATTTTCTCTCAATAGAATTTAATAATTCTGGTGGTTTCGCACATCACGTTCCAGTAGTTGTTAGTACATTTCATTTATCCTTAATCTTGTGACAGAAACACGCATAATAACTATAAATTGACCCATGGAACATGCATCAACCTAACATGCAAGTGTCATACTAATTTACCCGAGTAACATCAACATTACTGATATCATGCAAAATATGCAAAGAATCATACCATAATGTACAGTTGGCTCCAATCCTGACTTTAATACTTAACGCTGCCGATCCTCTCTCTCCCTGAGGTCTGAACCCAAACATTGAACTCTGAATTCGAAGCATTCGCCCAGTGAGCGGGAGGGAAAGGGGAGATATGTTCCCATATCTCAGTTGCATTTCAAGTCTCAGTTGAATAAACTCGTTTCTCATATTCCTCGACCCATAAAGACCTTAAATCGCCAAGACCCAAGATGACAGCTTATACCTCCGATGTATTCCCACAGTCATTTCAGATCCTACATTCACGCCACTAATAACTTAAATACATGCTCTACTCCTCACCTATAAACATTAATGCCCCATAGACGATCAATAAGTTTTCTTCTCATTATTTTTCTTACCATACCCAAAAGTAGGGGACGATGAAATCTTTTATCCAGTCCTCTATCATCGTCAAATTAGAAAAAAATTCACATTCGTTCAGTTATTATTTCTTTGCCAATTTTAACTATTTCAATTGCTAGAGAACTACACTTTCTGACAGCTAAATCCTAAGAGAATATAGGCCTACTTATTCATATATTATTTTTTTCTTATATCTAAAATTAGGCTAGGGAACCATCTGTTCATCAGTACTGCTATAGATATAAATATGCAACCTGCAGAAAGTGTATCACCATATGTAGCACAAGGTGCAATATTTTTGTTGCAGGGTCCTGTGAGTATGGCTCTTTACGCCCCTGATGCAGACTTTGAATACACCCTCGACATCCTCGTTTACCTTCGAAACTGTAGGTCACAAGACATAAAAACCTATGTCACCTTCCACATCTTCTTTGACGTTTTACATACTCCAAAGGTAAGAAAGATCTTAGTTTCAGTTCAACCATCACGACGTATTACTATGCTATGCAACATTTGTTACTTTGTCATTTTCGTCTAATCTTCCTTGCTGTTACACACTGACGTTTTCTTCATTTCAGTCATTGCGTATTAAATGTTTCATTCACACACTTATTTATTAATTTGCTTACTGGAAAAATGGAGGAGTTACCTCCTACAAAAGCACTTTTCTCATACAGTACTTTCAGATAGTTAGCTTTTCGTAGGAAACAGTTACTAATATCTAATAAAGTTCTAAGAAGACTTCAGCCAGTCCATTGTTGCTCCGTTGACGTACTGTAATAACCCGAACGAATAAGTAAATACACTCTCTTGGTTGTGACGGACGTATACTCACTCTGGTCGTTCCAATCCTCAAACCTACATCTGGACTCAAAAGCATGGGAACCAATCACAGTTCGACACGTCATGCTTATTACCTTATCAGTTTATGGTATACTCGTATAAGTAATGGTCAGCATGCTCGTCTCGCAATTGAGAGGACCCGAGTTCGATCCCCGGGTAGGATGAAACTATGGGCAAGTTTCTTTACCCCATTTGCCTCTGTCTACCCAGCAGTAATTGGGAACCTGGATGTTAATCGATTTGCAAATCGTATTCCAGGGTTATGGCTAGCCAGTGAAGTTGGAGAGTTGTCCAGTCTTCTCGGACTATTCCTTGACACTGGGTCATACGGCTCGTTAACTTGGGGTGTGGTTGTTGTGTTGGCGGCAGCTTCTACACCTTAAACAAAATTCACGCCTAGGTGGCCCTAGGGCAGGCTATCCTCGTTACTCGAGGGGCAAGCATTAATATTTATTATATAATTATTAGTGTCTGTCTGACAGGGGTGAATTCAATATAACTATATATTATTTACATGAATATATTCCTACTCTACAACCGCAAAAACAAAAATAAACGCACACACACACACACACACACACACATACACACACTACTACTACTACTACTTTGCTGTCACACGGAATCGAGTATGACAATCATCCAGCTATGATATAATGATATGAGTTATTAAGGATGTCACCTAAAATGGTGAGTTCTGAGGTGACTAGAGGACGCGACGGGACTGGCAGGGTCGGTCACAGAAGATGCATATGTGGGGGGGGCTACATCTATTGCGGGAGGGGCGGCTGCAACGTCTTTCCGGCGTTGGCGCTTGTCTGTCTCGTTTTGCAGTTGGGCCAACTCGAAAGTATTGACACCTTCTTGTATGGTGCTCCTCCAAGCGTTACGGTGTGGAGTAACCATCTCTCGTGTGAGGGGGTCGATTTGGCACTTTTTCAGGTTTGTAAGACTATCCTTATACCTCTTCATTTGCCCGCAAGTATTACGTTGACTATTTGTTAGGTGACTGTAAATTAGCTGCTTTGGCAGTCTACTGTCGTCCATGTGGGTAACATGGTCAGTCCAGCCTAGTTCTTCACGGATAATGGTAGCATCGATGCTTCTACAGTTGGTGTCAGCAAGAATACTGGCATTTGCTCTCTTGTGTTCCCAACGAACCCAGGGGATGGAACATAGACTGTGGCAATTACCGTGGGATCCTGCTGCTATCCATAGCTGGTAAGATTATCGCCCGATTCTTCCTAAACAGATTTCTTTCTGAGGCGGAGAACTTCCTCCCAGAATTTCAATGTGGCTTGGACCAATACATGAGCACCACTGACATGATCTTTGCTGTCCGACAGATAATGGAAAAGTGCAGAGAATAGCATCGTGGCCTGCACATGGCTTTCATCGACCTAACCATGACCTTCGACTCAGTCAACAGGGAAGCCCTCTGGTGGAAACTCATAAGGCAAGCATGAACTTAGCATGCTTCCCTGTTGGGCGTTGTAAACTCTTCTGCACTTCACCTTACACAAGGATGTAGGGGGGTGCCCCCCCCAAAAAAAAAAAATCAGCCGTTTTGGCTGCCCACCAAAAGTTATCGCCATTGTGAGGGAACTCCACGATGGCATGAACGGCAATGTCCTGCACAATGGCACCCAATCTGACTTCTTCCCCGTCCAAACGGGGGATAAACAAGGGTGTGTACTGGCACCAACTCTCTTTTCCATTTTCCTGGCTGCCTTCCTTACTCATGCCAGCGCAAATTTAGCCGGTGGGGTTGGACATCCGGTACCGGATAAACGGTCTTTTCAACATAAGACGACTCCAGGCAAGAACAAAGGTGTCGGCAGCTTCTATTACTGAACTTCAGTATGCAGACAACCTCATCCTTATCGCTCAAACTGAACGCGACCTACAAGAGATCCTGAACACCGACGCAGTTGCGTATGCACACTTTGGCCTTGAGGTGAATGTACTTAAGACTCAGATTCTCTTTCAGCCTGCCCCTGGTTCAACCACACCTCCACCATCCATCCAGCGTAACGGTACTGCCTTCAATAATGTTACCCACTTTCAGTATCTCGGCTCCCACCTGTCCACCACCGCAGACATCGATGAAGAGATTCAGCATCGAATCAGATGTGAATCTCATGCATTTGGCAGACTCCGAAACCGTGTCATTAGCTGTAGGGAGCTGAAATTACAAACAAAGTTAAGGTGAACTGGAAGCCATCGGGCATTTTAACATTGTTGTTCGCAAAGGAGTAGTGGATCAGCTCTGAGAGTGCTTCAAGGTAGAGTTTGACATTGCCTTCCCTGAAAGAGCGGATCAACATGAAGATGGTGAGCTCCATGTCCAGCACAAGGTTCCAAAATTGGAACTGTGAACTCTCAAGACTCATCAGACTCATCAGAGCAATAGTCCTGGTATGCCTCCTTCATCAGTTTGTACAAGCTGCATGCTGTGACTTGATGTGCTAGTCTTGTCTTAGCTACACTTGATACAGACAGAAAAGACTCCGCTGGTTAAGCTGTTGCAGTATGACATGCTTTTTCTTAGCTGACACTGAACCCCATGCTGGGTTAGCACAGCAGTGATGTCACCAGTGTGCCCTGGTAGTGCCCGACAATCACTCCCTCACATGCAGAGACCCTCTGCATGTTACCCTCACCTAGTTGGAAAAAACATAAAATCAGTTCATAAAACCAGTCATGCTTGAAAACATACATATCGACACTAAGATCATTTAGATTGACCAACTACATCTAATATACTATAGGACTAGCCGTGTGTCTGTCTGTCTATCTGTGTGTCTGACTGTCTGTCTGTCTGTCTGTCTGTCTTTTATGGGCAGCCAAAACGGCACAATCGTTTTTCATCAAACTTGGTGGAAAAATCGCAAAAAAATTCGTAGAGTGGAACAAACCTGGTCCCATGTCGATGGTTTCTTTAGGAAGCCATTAATTAACCATTTTATTTACGCTGGGAAACAATGCAAGTCTACGGACTTGGCGCACCCTCATTCGCTGTACCCTGTCAGCCCACGATTGCAGTTTGCAGTTATCGTACGGCTCCCTCCTCCTCCCCCCACTTTTTTCTTAGCCTACTTTTTTTTAATATTGTTTGGATTAGTAAAGGAAGGAAGATGAGTAAAAAGAAGAAGAAAGACGGGGAAACAGAAAATAGTTAGAGATAACAAGTGGGGGGGAGCTGAGTTTCATCATGCGTCTGGATGCGCAGTTTCAGCGTTACCAAAGCATTTTCGGACCTTACGAGGCTACAGTGTATACTTATTCCTGTGGCTGACTGTACATGGAAAAGGAGAAGAGATAAAAAGATACTAACAGGAATGCAAGGAGAAGATAGAAAGGCAGAAGAGCAAGGAAAGGAGATGGAAGAGAGGGATAGTAAGAGGTGGAGGTATGAATGGAGGGATGTGTTTTTTAAAGTTCCCAAAATACCATATTAAAATCACCTATTTAATAGGGAAGAAAAAGTTTTAAGTATGATGAGTAGTGTAATAGATAGACATAGAGATATATAAATAAAGAGAGAGATAGTACGGATAAAAATGGAGAGAAAGAGAGAAGCGGACAAACAAAAGACATAATACAGACAGATTCAAGGACACACAGAAAGACAGACAGATAGACAGACTTATGAAAGACAAAGACAACAGACACATACATACAGACAGACAGACATGACTGCACAGGGTGAATATAGACAGTGAAACAGACAGGAGGTTGACAAAAATAGACAGATTCATACATGCACAAATAGACAATATGACAACTAACATGACAGACAGACAGACAGACAGTTGACTGACTGGTTCACATTAGACAAACAGCCTGACACACGCCAACAACGGATATGACAGACAGATTTGACGACACAAAGAGTACAGACGAGCTTACAGTCAAACACCACGCAGACGAACAGACAGTTGGGATGGCAATAGACAGGACGGATAGACTTGAGACAGATTAGAAGGCATTATAAACAAGAATAACACCAAATTGACCATAGCTGCGTCAGTGAGGGTAGCAGGTCTTACATCCACCAGCGTAAATAATAAGACGCATTGAAAACTAACAACCTCGAGCGGAAAGAATATCGATGATCGGTCAGTCATGTGAGATGGGCCTAAAACTGACTAACGTAGGTGATGACTATGATGACTTAACACAGGTGATGACTTAAGCGGATGGTGACTAATCTAACCAGAATCAAAGTCACTTCTCTTCATGATATAATTTATCTCGGAATGATCATCAGTGATTCATAATATTTTTTTTTTTTTTTATGATTTTAACCTCCCCTTATGGCAAATATTTCTTTCACTAATTATTCTAACCTTTATTCTATTCCTTCCTATAGTATACTAGATACTTGCAGTACCAGATAACCAAGACCATGATTATAACAACCAGGACCATGATTATAACAACCACGACCATGATTATAACAACCACGACCATGATTATAACAACCACGACTATGATTATAACAACCACGATTATGATTATAACAAACACGACCATGAATATAACAACCACGACCATGATTATAACAACCACGACCATGATTAAAACAACCAGGACCATGATCATAACAACCACGACTATGATTATAAAAACCACGACCATGAATATAACAACCACGACCATGATTATAACAACCACGACCGTCATTAAAACAACTACGACTAAGATTATAACAACTACGACTAAGATTATAACAACCACGACCTTGATTAAAACAACCACGACGATGAATATAACAACCACAACCATGATTATAACACCTACGACTATGATCATAACAACCATGGCTATGATTACAACAACCACGGCCATGATCATAACAACCACGACTGTGATTATAAAAAACACGACCATGATTATAACAACCACGACTATGATTATAACAACCACGACCATGATTAAAACAACCACGACCATGATCATAACAACCACGACTATGATTATAACAATCACGACCATGAATATAACAACCACGACCATGATTATAACAACCACGACTATGATTATAACAACCACGACCGTCATTATAACAACCACGACTAAGATTATAACAACCACGACTAAGATTATAACAACCACAACCATGATTATAACAACCACGACCATGATTAGAACAACAACGAATATGATTATAGCAACCACGACCATGATTATAACAACCACGACCATGACTATAGCAACCACGACCATGATTATAACAACCACAACCATGATTATAACAACCACGACTATGACTATAACAACCACGACCATGATTATAACAAGCACGACTATGATTATAACAAGCACGAACCATAAATATAATAACCACGACCAGGATTATAACAACCACGACTATGATTATAACAACCACGACCATGATTATAATAACCACGACCATGATTATAAATACCACGACCAAGATTATAACAACAACGACCATGATTATAACAACCACGACTATGATTATAACAACCACGACCATGATTATAGCAACCACGACTATGATTATAACAACCACGACCATGATTATAACAACCACGAATGTGATTATAACAACCACGACCATGATTATAAAAACCAGGACCATGATTATAACAACCACGACCACTAATTATGGGAGTGATTTACAGGCCCCCAAGTCTTAGCAAAGAAGCAGCTCAGCCCATATGGCAGGAAATGAGTAGGGCAGCAAAATATAACAACCTATGCATTATGGGGGATTTCAACTTCAGAAATATTGACTGGGACAACATTGTAGGCGACTATGAATCTGAAGACTTCCTAGACGCAGTACAGGACAATTTTTTGAAACAACTAATTACAGAACCTACTAGAGGTGACAATATATTAGACCTAGTATTAACAAATAAAGAAAATATTATCAGAGATATCACAGTAGGGGAAGAACTAGGTAACAGTGATCACAGAGAAATCAGGTTCACCCTAAATTGGGAAACGAAAAACAATGACAATATGGTCAGAGTCCCAAACTTTCGGTTGGCGGATTATCAGGGGTTAAGAAGGTACCTAGGTGAGGTCACCTGGGAACAGTCACGTCAGTTCCCAGTAGGAAGTGGTGAGGTCATAGATGACACAACAATTGATCATGACTATAATATATTCACCAGTATACTACATAAAGCACAAGAACAAAATATACCATACAGAAAAATTAGGTCAAATAAGAATGAGCCAAGGTGGATGACCAGAAAACTTAAACATGACATAGGAATAAAGAAAGGAATATATAAGAAATTAAAGGGAGGGGAGGAGCAGCTCAGAAACAGGTATAATGAACTATCTAGGAATGTTAAGAAAAATGTAAGGAAAGCACAGGGAGACTATG